GCCTAGGAGTTAGAAGACCCCACTGTTTGTGACTGTTATTTCAGCACTCTAGATTCTCCAGTAAGGATGCTTTGGGGATACAGTAAAACTTATTTCAAAGTTGCCAAAAAGCCCTTCCAATCATATTCCTCATTAACCCACTTAGCGTTTACTCCCTGCTTATACTCCTACCTGGGAGAAAGAAAATACTTTCATCCAGACTATGCTGAGCATGCGTACTTACATTTTTACATTGCATTAATACACTTTAAAATAAAAAGACAATTAAAAATAAAATGGAATTCTATTATTTCACATCATGATACTATTGCTGCATTATACATTTTGACTTGAGAGGCATAGCCACTCTGAGGTACTGGCAGTAAGATTACTGACTTTTGAGTCTGTATCTACTGCTCCTGGCCAAAATTAGTTCTCACAGTGTTATCACTAGTGGGACTTGGGTAGTAGATCCTGTCAAAAGTGGACCAAGGTATTGCAGACTTAAGGGGAAATGTCCAGAGTGTCCAGCATCACTAAGATTCCTTAGATTTTCTGTTCACGACCTCTTCTGACTTAGATTTTAAGGAGTGAAGAGAGAGATGCTAGTTTGTGACTGTGGTGAGCAATACCGTCATAACCATCCGTGTTTCTAGAACAAAAGAGGAAGAGGAATAACGGCCAAGTAAGAACAAGAAGGAACCTGGGCAGTGGTGGCGCACGCCTTTAATCCCAGCACTTGGGAAGCAGAGCCAGGTGGATCTCTGTGAGTTCAAGGCCAGCCTGGTCTATAGAGTGAGATCCAGGACAGGCACCAAAACTACACAGAGAAACCCTGTCTCAAAAAACCAAAAAAAAAAAAAAAAAAAAAAAAAAAAAGAACAAGGAGAGCTGTGGTGCTAAAAAAAAAAGCATCTTTTCTTTTTTTACAGAATTAATTTTATAATAAGAAAACATACAATCATGAAATCTCTAGAAAATTCAGGAAAGCCTAAGGTAATTTAATTGGGTGCTTGATCCAACATGAAACATAGGTTTAAAATTCTAATGAAGCATAATTATGGGAGGAATGTGTTGAGCTCTGGGGGTCATGTTCAGTGCCAGGTATTTTCCTAAATCTTCCAAACTCCTGAACACCGAGAACTATGAAGCGGGCATGTTCCCTTTTATCACTCAATAGGGTTATGTGCCCAGTGTACGGATACACGGCAGGGTAAGAAAGCTTGGCTACCCCTTGCAACAAATGTTACTCTCTTGATCACACTGCCTTAGGCTCAACATTGACAAAAACAAAAACACCCACAAAAACATGTTCTGAGGTGTATGTAAGAGTTGAGACAGATCTGAAAGGCTGTTGGGTGGTTCGAGACAGGAGCTGACCCCTAAGTACCCTTAGAGGGGGCCTGGAGACCAGGATTGGGCCTGGGGGTGAGAAAGCGCCGGAAAGAAATAACCGTGCATTAAAAACTGCAACACGGCCTCAAGGAGAAAGAGAGCTCTCCTTTAAAACCCAGGGAAGAGCTTCATCAGAGGGAGAGCTTAAAGCTAAGAGTAATAAAAATAAAGAGTAATAAAAGACGGAGCTGTGGTGAGAGGGATGGTAGGCAGTACCCAGAGAACAGAGAGATTCCAAGAACAAAGGAAAACATCTGGCTGGGGGCGGGGAGGGCTGTGGGAAGTGTTACTCTGCACACGTTAGTCTGGAGAGTTGATGTTGCAAAGGTCACGGTAGATTCAGGTCCTGGTTAGGATCGTAAATTAGAAGTTGTACACCCACAACTCAGAACAGCTTCTGAATTCTTTGTTCCAGAGACAGAGAGAGAGACAGAGAGAGACAGAGAGAGAGAGAGAGAGAGAGAGAGAGAGAGAGAGAGAGAGAGAGAGAGAGAGAGAGAGAGAGAGAGAGAGAGAGAGAGAGAGAGAGAGAGCAAGAGCTGTAAGAGGCTGCAAGGGATTGTGGGGCAATTCCTTGAGGATGTGAGAGTTCCTCCACCTTGTATTTCTGCTGAGGCCATTTACAGGTTTAACTAGAATCTGACCTCCTTGATTGAGAATCCCACCCTAGGAACCGAAGGTCAGGATGTCCTAGCTAACTTAGCCTTTGTTAAAACTGCCTGTTTGTTCAGAAGCCCCCTCCAGCTGGCTAACTGCTTATCTTAGCTTTTGATAGAATAGCTTGCTGTAAGCTGTTTATTCCTCTTGAAGACCCCACCTTGAAGCTGCCAAGCGAGATGCTAGGACCTGGTTTCTGCCTTTTAAAACCCCATGTTCAGGACACTCAGGGGACCACCCTGATCACTCGGGTGTGGTCTGAGTGCTCTGGAATAATAAAGACTTCCAACTGGCTATACCTTGTCTCTGAGTGGTCATCTTCGGTGCGCTCTGCGTAACACCAGAAGTTAAACAAACCCATTTGATCAATTCAGCAGGATACTGACCAAACTCCTGTGGTTCCCAAACTTTGTTCTACATTCAAGTCACTGGGAGATTGTAAGATTCCCAGCCTTATCACACCAACTAAGCCACAATGCCTGGTGAAGGCGAAGGCAAGCAGAACCAGGCACCAGTATTTGTGGGGTGTGTGTGTGTGTGTGTGTGTGTGTGTGTGTGTGTGTGTGTGTGTGTGTAGTATATATATGTGACAGGGTCTTCTGTAGCCTGACTAGCTGCAAACTTGCTATGTATCTGAGAATGACATTGAACTGCTGATCTTCCTGCCTCTCCCTCTTGAGGGCTGAGATTACAAGTATAAATTACAATGACTGGTTTATGTTGTGCTTGGGTGCGAGGGATGGAACTAAGAACCTCGGGCATGCTAGGTGAGCACTCTGCCAACTGAGCTACTTCCCCAATTTAAGTAAGCACCTTTTTAAGGCTCTTCAGGTGCTTAGAGTTGCAGCAAGTTTATGATGCACTGGCGAATGATGATTTGGGGTGCTGTCCTAAAGATTGCTCTTGAATCAGAATCTGCCCAGAACATCTCTCTGTAGTTCTGAAGCAGGACATTTTCCTACAGATTCTGACTACTCCCGGCTTTAAAAGATTTTTCTTCTTCTACTGTGAGGGTTAAAGTTACGTTTTAAATTTTAATTACTGTGCTTAAGAGATCTATAAAACAAAAAACGCCCTCTAATTTGTAAGCCCCACTTGCCCAAGGACAGATAACTTCCTAGAATGCTGAGGCTGTTGTTCATGTAAGATAACAAACCGCTGGATTTCGCTCCCGTAAACAAGCTTGCTTGCCCCAACTGCACAGGATGTGCTTGACCACACACATGGAGGTATGTGGAGGTATGTAGGCAGGAAGTACGTCAGAATATGTGCTTGGCCCATTAGACAAAGGCAGGAAGTGCACAGCCTTGTAGGTTTTGCCTTTATAAGCACCTGACTAACAGAATTTGCAGCCTTTCTCTGGGAATCTTGGGTATGGACCTGGCCTGTGTCCATTGTCTTCACCAGTATTTAGTAAAGCTTGCCTCAAATTTGGCTCAAAAAATTGTGGTAGTGGTCTTATTCTCGCTGGGTGGGATAAGCATTTTCCTCTCCTTCAAGTGCTGCTACACTCACTGTTAGTCATCAGGATAGGCACGTGCGAACAGAGCAGTGATATAATAGCCCTTTTTAAGTGCACTAGAGCAATCCTAGCTAAGCAGAAGAAAGTGAGAGACGTGGCAGTTAGCAGTTCTTTTAGTGCTGCTAGACTGTCAAATAGAAAATTTATGCCAAAAACATCAGCTTTGAAACCTAATCATCCCATTTGACTATCTATTATGATCAAATTAGTCACTCTCCTGCCTCTTCCTTTGCTCTGACTTGTTCTAGTGCATTATAAGTAAAAACACCCATGGAAAGTAAAGTTTTTCTTTTTACTTGTAGTGAGCACATACCCCAGTTACGGGGGAGGAATAATCACTCTTGATTCAGACTTGGTATAACACTCATTTATTCACACAGTAAGATTACAAGCAATATTCATCCTGTCTTCCAAATGGAAGCAGGAGTACCTCTCCGGGTATACAGGTCCGGACTCGCCACGTCTGTTCCTCTGGATCTTGGGTCAGCCTTCCTCAGGTCAGCCACGTCTGCACTGGGGGCAGGATCTCACGTCTCTGGCAGAGGAGAGTCGTCTCGCGCGAGGGCCTGACGAGCTCTGTTGGTCGGGTCTGAGGCTTCATCTTTTATATTCTTTCCTGGCTAGGTTTCTAGTCTTATCCCTACTTCCACACATAGCTTATAGCTTATCACTACTCCATTTGTGGTTTACTTACATCATTCTATTGCTTATCATTCCTGACCAGGGTTGTTCACCCTAGGCCTTACATGTGTTCCTTACATTCCATCCCCTGATGCCTGAAATGTCTTCAACATAAAAGGCATCACATGAGGTCGCAGCCTGGAGATTTACAATATGTTATCCTAATTTGTTAATCCTAGCATTCTTATCCTTCTCATTCTGGGTGGTTTATTTTTATGTTTTTTCTCTATATATGCATTATATAACTTCAACCAAGTGCTATAAGCTGCAAATTCTTTTAACACATCTATGACAAAATCTCTACACAATATTCTAGTACATATGCTTTGTAAATACATTGGTTCTCCTGTTTCCCACTGTGGGTCATTCAGGAAATCTTTATCAATGCTTAATATTGCTTCATCAGGATTATGTTTTAGCCATGTTCTATATGTTTTATATATTCTGTGATTACCGCGGCCCACATATGCTGCAGCTAAAGCTGCGCTTATATGTAGGGCTGCATCCATGTTATTTCTGTGTATTTTGTACATTCCATTCACTTTATATACACTAGATTGTATGGTTCCATAATATCTCATGTATCCATCTCCAATTAATCTCATATCATGTATACCTCCTTCTATTGTCAAGTGGAACGTTAAGTGCATCAAGAGCATTGGGAGGTTGTCTACCTCACCTGGTTCTGATAGGTAGAACATTGCATATTTATGGGTGCAGTATTTGCATCCCTGTATCGTTCCTGCCATAGATAATACACCTATTCTATAGAAAATATCAGACAATGGTTCCATATATTTTTGGTATGTGGTATATAGTAAATTACTCATTCCATTTTTACTAAGTAAATCGAAGCGTCTGCCTGACGGATTCCAAAGTGGGTTTCCTGTTACTTGATTCCTGTAAGACATCTTAAGCATGGAGTTATTATCAAGCATTTGATTTTTTTAGACAAACATAAAGCAATACTTATCCCTAAAATTACTAAAAACCAAAAGGTTGCTAACTTTATCCAGTGCCACCATGTGTAAATTGGTGTACATATTAGATCTAATCTGACTAGTCTGCCTAAATAATCCCAAAAGCTGCATTTCTGCATCTGTTTTGCCCAGTCTTTATGTATGTATGTATTTGTTCTTAACAGATTCACTAGATTGTGCGTTTGTGCTTGTGATGTATGTATGGCTGCATCTTGTTCTTTAATTTTGTTATGTATGGATTCCAGTTGTTTCTGATTGAAATCTGCAATGTGCTGTAACTCCATTGCTTGTTTTACAAATGTTTGGTGATGTTCTAATTCTGTTGGGTCATTAAATAAGTGTGAGCCATCAAAATAATGTTTTTCTTCTAGTGTTAATGTGGTCACTCTTTGTTTGGTTATGTTTTGCCATCATAATTAGTGAAATTCATTTGTAGGATGCTACAGTTGTGTACCATATAGCATCCTGATTCTGTAATATTGAATGTTGTGATATCATCATTCATTGTGGTTTCATTAAGATTTATGCAGCTAACTAAAGTAGGTAAATATTTAGCACATATCAAGAAAGTGTAATCTCCCGTATCTTCTAGTGACTGTGTGATAGTAGTTACTGCCAATTGACTAGTTTCAAGTGTGCTTTCTGGTAAATGTGGATAAACGTATGTATTTGCTCCTAATGATATGGAGTCTTCTAATGGTATGTACACTGGTGTGTCATTCATATTGGTCCATAAGTAATGGTCTATGGGTACTAAGTATTGGTGGTTCCATTCTGATACTCCTGTTCTTTCAGTATATAGCTGTGGTATCGCCTTGGAATGATATGCTGAAAATGAATTTTGTAAGAAGATCTGTACTAAATGTATATTACATAATCCATCTGTGCATGAGCTTTCATATTCAGGGTTTAGTATACTTTGATATTCTCTTGTTCTTCTCCCTAACCCTGTGCTAAATAAACTATTTAATTCATTATTCATATTACTGACTTGAGTTCGATACATTTGACACATCATCATGTTATGGTTAGTATTAATAAGTTTTGCTTGATAGGAGAATTGTTCCTTATAAAGGTCTTGTGACATTTTTATCTCGCCTTGCATAGTTTGTATTAGTGTATGCATGCCATCTATAGAATTTGATATAGCTGCTAAAGCTTCTGCTGTTTTCTTATTTACTTCTTGTATGTGGTATATTTCTGCCTTTATTGGTTCTATCATTGCTGCTGATACTCCTCCACCCATTATTCCACCTAAAATTGCTCCTGCCATAAAGGCTGCTACTGCCATTGCTTGTAGTGGTTTTCTTCCTACTCTTGTTGGTGATGAGTAGTCTAAATCAAATCTAAAATTCACATCACTACAATATTCTATAGGTGGTTTCAGTGCTGTCACATCTATTGTAATTTCAATTTTTCTAATCCTAGGGTATAAAACTAATTTAGCTGGACTTTTTAGGTCTGGTATAATAGCTGGTGCCTTGACTACTGTTGGGGTTCCTTCTGGTGGTATTAGGTATCCTTTTGGAAAATGAGCTGTATATAATCCAATATTTTCTTTATTTGGTCTGGTCATATTTCCTCTAAATATAATTAATGGTGTGTTGGAATGTTCGCTGAGAAAATCCTTATTTCTTGATATCGGGAGATAATATATTTTATCCCAATATTGTGTATGTGATTTCATTGATCCTCTAGGTTTGTGTGCTACCCATTCAGCCTTATTCCATTCTTTATATTGTGGATTTGGCATTAACATGTAGAAATAATATGGGAGATTATGGTGCTGTAATTCAATTACTCTATCCATTTCATAATCCAAAGTTTGCCAAAAACTCCCTGATCTAGTTATCCCATTTTTATAATGTACCATTAGGTCATCTGGATCCATAACCTTATTGATTCTCATAGCCTTTGTCATTTGTACATATGGTGGGATATATTCTACCTCCCTTATACCTGTGAAATTGTATGCCTTTTGTTCAATTGCCCTATTAAATATGAAAATATTTTTTGCTGCCACTTCATCTGTAGTAACATTGGCACTGACTTCCCAGGGTATGGGCATGTCCAGTAAGTCTTTAGATTCATGAAACCAGCAAATTGATATCTTACTGCCACCTAGCATGTTATGTATTTTATGTTTTGGTTCATGTATCATGCCTATGGTTAATATTGGTGTGCTGTCAAATTTTACTAGTGACATATGTTTGTTTATTATGGTAATTTTACCATATATATTCAAATTTATTATTGTGGTTGCTTTATTTGTGGTACAGTTAGTCCGTACCGCTGTATTATTTGTTTCGGTAAAGCATGATAATTTGTTTCTCAAGCTTGTGGTACCTTGTGTTAGTGATTTTGCTAAGGTTAGGTTAAAAAATCCCAAATTACTTGCTTGCGTAAAATATGTTGGATATGACTGTTGGTCGTCATTAAATCTCATTATTGCCTGGACCTGTTTAGTAGCTGTTATATTTGCAGTACTGTCCACAAAAATTCCTAGCCATGGTATTTTCTGGCCTATTATATCTGTGATTGCTATTAAATCTTGTACTGACCTTGATGTTCTTCCAGTAAATAAAGGTCCTACATGTAGGTCCACTATAGTCTTTGTATTGTTGTTTTGTCTAATGTTTGTATTTGCTTCGGACATATTTATACATGCATATGCAAAAGAGTGTTTTTCCCTGTGTAATGTGGAATTTACTGTAAGTATGCAAATGTGTGTTATGGTGTCTGTGTTGCAATCATATTTAGGTTTCATTGTGTGTCTCATTGAAGCCCAAGGTTGTTGTATAATATCTGTAAGTATGATTGGGAATCTCCAATGTTCTACTCCTAATTGCAATATTTTTGTCCAGTCATCCCATTTCCATTCCTTTCCTTTTACTGATGGGTTATCTGTGCTATATAATACAGAGAAGTTACCATAGAATGGTAAATTGGGATAGTCTGCTACGCATAACCAGTTAGTATTATTTTGTCCTGGTACATCTAGCTTATGTTTTTGAATGTATCTCCCTAAGTTATTGGGACATCTATTTCCCCAGGGTTTGGGTAATGGTATTATTCCAGATACTACTGGCCATGGTTTTACCATTTCACCATCATTGCATACTGTCCAATTCATAGGGTTGCATGGGTTTATAGGTGTTGTAGTTACTTTAGGTGTTGTACTAGCAGGGTAATCACCATCATAATAGTCATCATTGTAATTATACACTTGTTCTTCCCACCTTTCTGATGTCTTATTATACAGCATACCTATCTCCTCCATTTGTTGTGCTATTACTGGTGCGAAATATTGTCTCACAAAGGAGCTATTCATGCCTAGTTCGCAGTCAAATTCTGGTTCTGTCTCTATTCCCATTGTATTGGTCCTATAGTGTGAGTTTACCCTTAATGTGTTTGTTCTGATATGTGAATTCTTTGTCCAATACATGTTGTATATGGCTGCGTGATTGGTAATGTTGGTCCATAATTCATTGTAATGGCATTTTAACGGGTTCTGCTCATGTATGTTGGTGTTAACATCATCCCCTGATTCTAACATATATTCTTTGTTTGGATGGTATATGCTAAGTGCCATTCTATATTGATCGCAACCCTTATACCAGGCATATGTTAAACATGCTGCATATTTTTGCCAAAAACTGTGTGTTTTTCCTATGTAATGTGTAAATCTTCTCTCTGCTGACCAATATAGCGGTAATTTGCCTTCTAGATCATAAATTGTTGGTGTAGCAACGGTATTCTGTTTCCTAGTGCCCACTTGTATAACATGTGGTGTGGTGGTGGGTCTGTTTGTTGTGGGTGTACTGTCCAATAGGGCTGGCATTGGTATGCTGTTATTGCCATCACATCTGCTAACCTGAGACAGAAAAATGAGCACACAAAGGCTCCAATAGCATATAGCTTGCTTGCCTTCAATGTGCACATCACCTTTGCTATTCTTATTGCCTCCTGTGCAGATAGTGTATCCAGCATACCGTGAAGTTGGCTGTTCTGGATGCTGCAGAAGCGTATCCAGGATTGGTATTGTTGACTATGTTGTATGAGTAGCTTCTTTGGTAAATGATGTTACAGAAGGGAAAAACAAATTCTAAGATTGGCAGTACTATGTATACTGCAATAGCTATTAGCCAAATCGTCAGGAGGGTTGCCCTTATGAATATCACCTCCCTGACACACATTTATGCTATATCCTCCAGCCTGACTAATTTCAAGTCCTTTTTACCTTGAGTTATCCACACGTTGTTTCCTGTTCCTGGTGCTATTATTTCTGCTGGGGATAATTTGTTATTCTTCCGGTTCCTGTAAAGGCAATTAGGATTCCTTATTACTTCTCTATCTATAACTGTAGGATAATCTATTGTGTGTTGTTTTTGTATAGCTTCTTCTATTGGTGACTTCCTATTTATTCTGGGTCTGGTATTCAATTCATAAGTTGCTATTTTTATTGCTAATGACAGTGGTATTCCCTTATGCATCTCTAGCTGTTTTTTAATCATTCCGTTCCATCTTTCTATTGCTCCAGCTGCTGTCGGTGTATAGGCTCTATGGAAGTCCCATTGAATGTTTAAGTTTCTAGCCATTCTTTGTGTTTTGGCTCCTGTGAAATGAGTTCCTTGGTCTGATTGTATTATATCAGGTATTCCATATGCTGCACACCATCCCCAGACTGTAAGTATTGTTGTGTTTTGGTCTGGGTGTGTGCTTTCTCGGGCCATCCCGAGACCTGTTGTTATGTCTACTAGGGTGCAGCAATATTTTCCCTTGAAGCTGTTTAACGGTCCTATGAAGTCTATTTGTAGGATTCTATTAAAATCCATTCGGTGTCCTATTATCCCTTGGTAATTGTGTGTTAATCTTGTAATAGCCTTTGGGCAATTGTTGCAACTATTGATTGCTTTCCTTATTGTCTGCCATGTTATCTTAAGATTTCTTTTATCGAACCAACTTTTTAGTGCATGTGTACCTATATGTCCTAACTGCTCATGGATTTTCAGTATCTCTTCTGTACTTATAGGTATGTCCTTAGTTGATGGTCTTACCTGTATCCATTCTCTCTGTATTTTACCTTTTCCTGCTTCTGGATTAATGTTTGCCTTCCATGTACCTTTTAACTTTATACTTAACGCTGAAGCTAGTTTGTCTACTACTTCATTGTTTTTACTTGTCTCATCCTGTTTCTTGGTATGTGCATCTACATGGTATACTATGATTTTGATTAGTCTGCTTGCTGCATCCAATTCCTGCCATGCTGCCTTTGACCATATGTCTTTACCATTAATTTTCCATCCATTATTTCTCCATTTACCTGACCATACTGCTATGCCATTTGCCACACACCATGAATCGGTGTATAAATAAATTTGTTTATAATTGTCCTTTATAGTTTGTCTTATCGCCAATAGTGCGGCTATAACTTCTGCATGTTGGGCTGATTTATCAGTGCCCTGGTCTGTAATGACCATTCCATCCCCAGGTCTATAAGCGGCTGCTCTCCATCTCACTTTGTTGTTCACCGTGGTTGCTGATCCATCGGTGAACCAGGCATTAACCAGAGAGGGATCGTACTCTCTAGTCCCCCAATGGCCCATTGGTACCTGTTTCTGGGGAGGGGTTGAGGTTGGGAAAATGTATCCCTCTGGAGTCATGGGCCTGTCGGACTGAAGTATCGACTCCGATACCGCTGGTACCGACCCCTTTGCTGACAGAGGTGTTGATCAAAGGAACTCCTGAAGGTACCATTTCCATTGAAGTACCTTTCCTTCCATGGGTAGTCCAGCCCATGCCTCTCCTGGTGCCTTTACCCAGTCCAAAATGGGTATATGTGATCGGAGAGTCACATGGTTCTCTTTGAGCAGTGAGTGGATTGTCCTGAATGCCTCGTAGGCTGTCCATATGGTTCTTTCGAACAGCGAATATTTGTTCTCTGACCATGGGAATTTCTTGCAGTAGAAGCCTATTGGCGTTTCCCTGTCTTTATTTTTTGAAAATATATTCCAATTACCATAACCCTGCATATACAAGATGTCCACAAATACGTGGTCACCGGGCTGTATATAATATAGGTGGCTATACTGGTTTATATATTCCAGTACCAATTTAACGGCATTTTCGCAGTTTTGGTCCCATTCAAAATCCTGTGCTTTCTTTGTTATTTTATATAAAGGCTGTAATATGATCTGTAAGTATGGAATATGTTGCCTCCAATATGCAAATAGGCCAATTAGATGTTGTACCTCAGTTTTATTCTGGGGTCGCTTAATTTGTTTTAATTTATCTATTATTGTTTCGGGTATTGTTGGTCCTTCTGTAGTCCAATGTACCCCTAAGAATTTTACTTCTGTTCCTGCTTTATTTACTTTTTCTAGGTTTATAGTCCATCCTTCATTTCTTAAATGTTGAATTAGTTTCTCTAATGTACTTTGTACTTTTTCAATGGCTTCTCCTACTATCATTATATCATCTACATAAGTGTATATGTTACAGTCTGATTCTGGTTCGAAGCCCTTTAATGTAGTTGTTAAGGTGTTGTGTGCAATAATAGGACTGTTCAAATACCCTTGAGGGAGTCTCAAGAATTGATATTGCTGTCCTTGCCATGTAAATGTAGTAAGTTCCCTAGATGTTGGGTGTAATGGGATTCCAAAGAACATATCACTTAAGTCTATAGTTGCCATTGCCTTTGGAGCTGAATTTTTAATTCTAAGAAAGATGTCTTCCACATCAGGAAGTTGTCCTGGAAGTTTAGGTGTTTTTTCATTTATTCTCCTGAAGTCAACTGTAAATCTCCATTTGCCATTAGGTTTCAGCACCGGCCATACTGGGCTGTTATAATTGAATGATTGAGATTTCTCTATAATGCCTTCTTTTAGCAAAGTTTGTATAGTCTCTGTTATTTCCTTAATACCTCCTTTGATAGGGTATTGTGCCGTGAAGGTCGGGGGTGTGTGTGGTAATTTAATAGGTTGTATTTTTACTTCTGCTAGATTACATCTGACCTTAGCTATTCTCTTATTATTTAGAAAGTCTGGGAATAATTTTCTTATTTCTTTAATGCCTAGGATATTACAGGGTGCATTGAAGCTAGCTGCTTCAATCTCATATTCCTTATTATATAATTTGAGTCTTAATTTTATTACTGGTACTTCTGTTTCTGCTGCTACTCCCTGTATTATAATCCTTTTATCAGTTTTAAAATGTTCTGTAAATTCCGTTATTATACTAATTTCAGAACCTGTATCTATTAGCCATTTTACTATTCTCGGCCCTTTGTTAGTTATTATAGGTATAGCTACGAATGGTCTACCAGCCGGGTTGATCAAGTCCGTCTTGGTATGTAGCGTCTGGGGGGTCCTGCTCTTGGGGGCCTGTGATTGTTCTGATTGAAAAATTTTGGTCTGAAATTTGGTTTGAAATTTCGATTGCCTAAAAAAGGTTTTGGTTGGCATGTCTGTCTCCATGGGTTGCTCTGTGTCTCTCTCCATGGGATATTTTTCCTTCCTGTCAACCTTCTAATTGGGTTCCATGGTTTATTTGCATTCTGTCTTATGGGCATTTGATTAGCTTTCCCAAATGGTCTTATGTTCGAAAACCGCGGTGTAAATTTCTTCTTGTCCTGTTTCTTATTAACATTGAATGATACTACCTTGTCTATGTCCATTTCCCTGTAAGATTTAAAGAATTCCATGGCATCTGAGATGGTTTGACATGCCTGCAGGGGTCCAGCTAGGCTCATTTTAAGGTGTGCTGGAGCTCCTTTAATAATGATCTTTTTAAATTGTGGTGTAAAAGGTGCGGCTTGAGGTGTGGGTACCTGGTTGTATATGAAATACAATATGCCTAATTTTCTACATTGTTTTATGGCTTGTGCATATGTTGTCCACTGTGCTGCTGATTCAAATTGAGTGAGGTCTAATGTTGGAAATGCAAATCTCCAAGCTGCAGTAATCCAATCTAATAGTGGATGTGTATCGCCTTTTGATGTCTCAATTACATGCTCTAGAGCTTCTGATACTGAGGGGTTCTCTACTATGTTTCTGATCTTTCTCATTTCTAGATCAGTTAACATGACTGTGTCAGCTCCCTTTTCCCACAGTCGGCACATATATTCTGCGTCTTTCTGTCCATTTTGGGCATAATCTTTCCGTAATTCTGAGATCTCCTGAGGAGTATATGGCCTGATTTCCTCAAACTTCGTTCCCATTTCAAATTTGGGACGATTACTACCTCCTCCAGTGCTGAAGGGGTTCAGAGCTGATATAGTACTTCTAATAGGAGTTCTCTTACTTTGGGTAGAGACAGGAAATGATGGTACGGTGTTACATCCATTCCATCCAGGAGTAGCGCTATGCTCCTGTTCCTTCCTCACTATGTTTAAGGCTAGCCTTTTGCCCATTAATCTGTCCTTATCAATATCCTGCACCGTTTTCATAAGCAGTGCGGTAGTTTGTGCCTTGCTACATCCCTCTAATTCTTGTTCTACCACATCCGGATTTGTTAATGTGTTAGTTACATTTACTGATTTCATGCCGGCCTTATTTTTAACCTTGGAGGCTACTTTTCCCCACTGTTCTTCAACCTCATCTTGGTATTCTCTACCTGTCACTGGGGAGATGTTAGTCTTCTTAAATTTCTTAATTAATCTATTCATTGTAAGTGGTATACCAAGCCGTACAAAAATTTAATTAATTTTTTCCTACGGTACCACTCCCAGTCACTAATTCATTTAGACTGATTCAAAGAATCAGTTATCAATTTTTCAAATTTCAAATCCGCAATCCTTTCTATCCTTTTGGCCAGCCAGCGCCTCATTTAGCTCTTTCCCAGCACCTTCCGCTCTTCCCCAGGGGTCTGGGTTGGCATCAAGGTGTCCGGTATTCTTTCGGTACTCCGCACCCTTAGGGAGGGTGGTGTTTCCCGTCTGCTTCTGATACTCTCTCTCCTACCAGTTCTTCCTCCTTGGACCTTCAGATTTTCTTTAGGTCCTCAGAGTTGACTTCGAGGAGTTGATTTCTCAGAGCGGCTTTGAGGTCACTTGCTAGTTTATTTGGTTTCCTGTAATTTGTTACTCCACCAGAGTAATAGCCAATTCTTTTGTATTACTTATTTTACATTCCTCAGTGCTCAGTGGTCAAGGAGGCTTTAAGCCCAAAATCCTGCCGACTACGCCAACTGTAGCGAGCACATACCCCAGTTACGGGGGAGGAATAATCACTCTTGATTCAGACTTGGTATAACACTCATTTATTCACACAGTAAGATTACAAGCAATATTCATCCTGTCTTCCAAATGGAAGCAGGAGTACCTCTCCGGGTATACAGGTCCGGACTCGCCACGTCTGTTCCTCTGGATCTTGGGTCAGCCTTCCTCAGGTCAGCCACGTCTGCACTGGGGGCAGGATCTCACGTCTCTGGCAGAGGAGAGTCGTCTCGCGCGAGGGCCTGACGAGCTCTGTTGGTCGGGTCTGAGGCTTCATCTTTTATATTCTTTCCTGGCTAGGTTTCTAGTCTTATCCCTACTTCCACACATAGCTTATAGCTTATCACTACTCCATTTGTGGTTTACTTACATCATTCTATTGCTTATCATTCCTGACCAGGGTTGTTCACCCTAGGCCTTACATGTGTTCCTTACATTACTCTATTTTGTACAGGGTAAGAATTGAAAAGGACTTTACCAGTCATCCTGGCAAACTTCTTCACTTTACAGCTAAGAGGAGGAGGACCAGTTCACTTGACACAGCAACTGGGGACCCTTGGGTCTCACACTGCTCTAGTCTAGTGCCTCTGGGAAGTAGAGCGAGAGGTGGTGTAGGACCAAGAGACTTGACAGTAGCGGTCACTCTGGGGAGGGCCTTAATATTCTGACACCAACATGTTCGGTCCCTCTAGGGACTTGATGGATTGCACTTAGTATGATGTGAATATTAAAAAAAAATAAAAGCACCAACGGCTGACTGCCTCAACCAGAGCAAGTCTCTCATCCCCTAGCAGCCCAGGTTTGGTTCTTCCTTGGCGAGGTGATGATCTACCAGCAAACCCTCTACATCTGTTCTCTCCCAGCCCAATCAGAAAAACCAGTGTGCTTGCACCACCTGTATTGTGGTGGAGGCTGAAGAAAGCAAAGATGAGCTGCCTGCCTGTCACGGAGGCAGGGCTCGGCAGGGTCATCGCTACAGACCTCCCCGAACTCTGAGCAGATGTTGTGTATCCCAAGGAACAAAGCCTTCCTCAGACGCTTAGGTCCTCAGTCCCAGATACCCCTAATCCTATTGCTCACGCAGGTTTGGGTGAGAGGGGCAAAGCCTCTGGACAGAGTTCAGAACCCATATTTAGTGACACTAATGGGGTGTGTTGCAGTGGAAAACATCATACTGTTCCTCCAACCGCGCATCAAATCTTTTCACGGATCCAAAAGTGTGACGTAAGCGTTGTGACCACCAGGGCGACAGTCACATGAACCAACTCTGCTTTTTGTGTTCAAAGACAGGTTTCACCTCTGACCAGTTTAGAAAACTCTTATAAAGAGCTGTTTACTATAGGGAGTAAACAGCTCCCACCAACCAGCTCCCAAATCATGACACGGAGACTTCTTATCAATTATGAAAGCTTGGCTGATAGCTTAGGTTTGTTTTTAAACTAGCTCTTATAACGTAAATTGACCCATTTCTATTAATCTACATCCTGCCATGTGGCTCGAGGCTGTTACTT